AAAATTTGGCCAAAATTTGTACTACAGAATTAGAAAAAGAATATTCTAATTGCAGATCTTTCACCATAAATCGAAATAATCTGCATTACACAATTTTGAAAAACTTCTGATTGTAATAGTATGTGTATAAAAAAAGTAGTGCCAAATGGAGTGCAATAATGCCACGAGATCTTTATATACAGATAAAATAATTTTCTACCTTTATCATAGATGCGCTTCTCCTAAAAACCAGATACCTTATTGTTTTATTATATTCAATACTGGTGCTTATAGCTTATAGTAGCATATTAATTGTAATATTAATTAGGAAGCAACAGTTAGCAAAAATGCAACCTTATAAACAAGCCAATCAAAAAGGCTGACCTATTGATTATAGGCTATAGACAGGGCTTATAGATAAAGATGATTCTGAATTTTATCAGAAATGGTCAAATAATAATAATCCATTTGCTCTTGCACTTATTATAAACTCTGATACAAGTATAGGTAAATCATCATGATTCTCTTTTGTACTATATTTAAGTAATTTGAGTATCAGAAAAAATGGTCAATTTTACTCTAAGAAAGGAGAGGCTTGAAATTCAAAATGATCATTCTCACAATAACTAACTTATTGAGAGAAAACTACAAAATTGACAGTACTAATCAAATTAATAATGCTTCTGATATTTCACCTCATGATCTATACTAGCATTATATGCAAGATTTAACTACTGGCTATTCAGTATACACTTCTTCAATATTTTTAGTCATGATGTATAGACATTTCTATGAGCATATAAAAACTGATTCTCATTTACAAGATTTCCTTAATGATGAAATTATTATATTCAATGAATTTCATATTCTTTTAATATATATCCTGCAAATTGAGTTTTTACAATTTCCAAATAGTAGTCCTTGATATTATAAATTGATACTATTCTCAGCAGCACCTGCTGGGATTGAAGAAATTCTATCTGTAACCTTCAATTCAGGATTACTAAATACAATAAATATACCAGTCACAATGGAGACTTTCTTGTATTTTAACTTTGGTTAGTAAGTTTAAAGAGACTTCCCAAGGGTTTCAAGATACTGTGCCTAAACGGACCACTTATACTCTTAGTCAAAAAAATGTACGACAAGCAATACCTGATGATAAAACATTAATAATCTCCAATATTGATAAAATCAGGTTTGATCCACCAGGAAAGAAATGTTTAATTGATATAGAATGAACTTTAAGTAATGATCAGAATGAGTTTAAAAGTAATATTTGGAGTAGCCTAGCTGAATATACTCAAACAATTGGGCGAGGTAGTCGATCCAGTAATAGGATCATCTTAAATCATCCAAAAGTGAGTACAGATACAACATTGAGGCCATATGGATCTTTAATATATATGACATCATGCATCTGCATATCCTTTCTCAAAGTTTCTACAATAGATACATCACAAAGATATCTTTTTTATCTTGTCATCCAATTTGTTGATAATATTTTCACCAGCCAACAAAAACATCTAATCGCCTTAGTTATCTCTTTATATCGAGATAATATTAATGAAAATCAAATAATCAATTTATGGTTCAAACTTACTAAAAATAATCTGACGGATGAGACATTATCTGAGTACTACAGAATTTTAGGATATGATAATCAAACTTATGAACAATTCACTAAAATCTTGTCTTCTATACAAACATTATCTATATTTGATGTTTGTTCTTGAATCATAAATAATCCTATATCAATAATTATTAAATTTATGGATATACTATATTTTATTAAATCTAGTTGCAATTTTCATCTTATAACAATGATTGTTTAGTTAAATATATTCCAGATTGCATCTAGTATTATGAATATATGATTAGGACATAGGCATCAAGCCAAACTAAGACAATATTATTAAAAACAAAACCTATGTTACAAAACATTCTTGATACTATTTAACTCATTAATAAACCTATTAATCAAATTATTATGGAGGAAGTTTAATGGCAAATGTTTATTGAGAAAAGAAAAAAGATTAATAACCATTAAATCATACATAATGAGGTGATCACACTACATGATGTATGTTCTTGGTATTCATTAACTCGCACCCATCAACATATAACAACTATTGCTAAATACCATAAATATAATATAAAAATTCATTGTGGCGACTTAGTGAAGTTGGTAAGTTGTCGCACCACCAAGCAGCAGGACAAGAGTTTGAATCCCACTGATGACGAAATTCGAATTTTACAGAATGTGTTATAAAGACTGTGTGTAATTTGATAGATCATCGGATCTGTAGCTTTGGTCGTACCAGCTTGTACTGAAATAATGTGGAACTATAGTGTGACGCAAGAGTTACATAAAACCCAAGTGAAGCGTTTGTGTAAATCCAAGAGCTGGGGCACACAGAATCCTGCTTGGCAAGTCCTGAGTAGAGAGGTAGCACAGATCTTCAACGGCACTACATAAAGGATTATAACTGAAGATCCAGAAAACTGAACGGGACTGAGGTGTTTGGCAAGGCACTATATCAACCAGGCTATTAGTATATTCTGAGGAAGGGGTCCGCCTTTCCAGGCTATCTGGATTGGGAGTTCGGGAACTGGTGAAATGGTAGATGGTCCGTAAAGTGGGTGCTAGGGTTTGAGTGAACTCTACAAGGGCAAATGTAGGTAATGGTAGTGCTTCGGCTCGCAAGTACTCATTCTCGAACTTGGCGTAAGTTACCGAAAGTCTAGCTTAGCCAGATTGTGGATACAGAAAGCTCTAGCAATGATGCCTCGAGAATAAATTAGTCCTAAGGTTATGGTATGCATCTGGAACTCTTGATTGATGAATGTAATAGAGTGTTCCGGTGATACAAGGGGGCAGTATACATTACAGAGGGTTTAAATAGGTAATCTCCTAGTTGGGTTATAGGTATGGCAGCTAGTATAGAACCTATGGTGTACAGTTATCTATACGCGGACTACTTAAATAGGCACTCAAAAGGCGTATGTGTAGCTAGTTGTAATTGGGGTTCCGTTGTGAGCTCTCCACCCATTATACTTGAATAAAAACTCCTATGCCAAAGAGGCTAGTTTAAAAAAAAAATAAAAAAAATAATATAAAAATTCATCTAAATAAACAAGAACTAGAGGTTGAAACCAGTTTTAATAATTCAAGTTTATCACGTAAATTTTGTAATATTATAGAATTTGATCCAATTAAATTTTAATAAATTCTATTATATCACAAAATTCACATGATAAACTTGAATTTTTAAAACCGGTTCTAACCTTTAACAAGAACAAATAATTCATGTCACAGAATTCAAAACAAATATATAATCAACATCTCAGCTAGCTTATTAACAAAATTCTAGGAAGACAAAATATACAGAAACTGGTACTATATTTAACCTTCATGCTAATTTGCTTAATCTACTGTATTTCTTGGCATTATGTAATCCAATAACCATACCAACACAACCTATAATCAACATTCAAGATAATGTAATACCTGAAATTTTTATTGATAACCAGCTATTACAAACATTAATACAACTTGCAAAAAACAACTTAAATTACTCCTATTTATTATTTTATACAGATAGCTTTGTTAGGGACATTACTACAAAACAATGTACTATAAAAATTGGATGGGTTCAAACCTAAAACAACACTATTACTTATAAAATCTATACAATCTCAATATATTGAGCTTTACAAACAATATAAGTATAACTACTTATTTGTATAATAAATTACTTGATCAAAATTAATCATGGGTTTACATACAACCAATTTTTTGCATTTTTTAAAACTATAAATAAAATTTTCTTAATAATTAATATAACATTTTATAAATCATTTTTAAATTGTATACATTTTTACAATAAAATAAAAAATTTTCAAATTTTGTTAGATGGCTATTAAGTAAATTTTGTTTAGAGTTCAGTAAAATCTGTCAGTCTATTAATAAATTAGATATTTGTTTTTTTTATAATTTAAACAAAATTTTTTAATAATTACATGACTAAATTCAATAAAATTTTTTAATTTTTAATTTACATCACAATGTTTGTCAAAGCATTTTATAAGCACTTATAAAAAATATTTATTAAACATAAGATAGGTTGGATTAGTACCAAAATATGCTTATTTTAAAGTATTTATAAAGTAATTAAAAATTAAGTATTTAATAAATATGAAATTTAATACTTAATTAGTATTTAAAAATTTTAAATACTTTATAAATATAAGAGTTAAGTACTTATTTAATATTAGTATTTAATTAATATAAGGTTGTGTTTGGCACAATATTGAAATGTATACATTCATAGAATTAGAATAAAAAAAAAACATCAAATTTGGACAGGTGGTTGTTAAGAAACTTTGTTCAAAGTTTAAAAATAATTTGACCCATCTATTAGTAAATTGTACTTCTGAATTTTAAAACTTTGTGCAAAGTTTTCTTGACAACTGCCTGACAAAATTCAATGAATTCTTTTTTATTTTAATTCTATATATATGTAGAATTAAAAAAAATAAAAATAAAAATAAAAGATGAAAATAAATAAAAAATAAAATAAAATAAATAAAATAAACCTAAAATAAAATAAAAAAGAAATAAAATAAAATTAAAAGGAAAAAATAAAATAACAAAATTTTGAAAGAACCTGTTCCGTCTATTAGTGCTGTTAAAACTTTGAGCGAAGTTTTCTCACTAACTACTGAACAAATTTCGATGAAAATTTTTTTAAATCAATTCTAAGTACGTGTAAAAATAAAATAAAATAAAATAATTTTTTTTATCCAATTTGGTTAGGAAGTTATTCTCTCAAAGTTTTAAAAAATTTAAAAATTTATTGATAGGCGGAATAATACTAAATTTTGTTTTTATAATTCCTCACATTTGTAGAATTAAATTTAGTTAGGTAATTATCGAGATACCATCGTTCAAAATTTTTAAGCCTGTGATTACCTAATTTTGATTTGTCAAACATCTTGGATCGTCAATGAGGATTACATAATCTGTTGCACGATCCTGTTAATCGCTCTATACTTAACGAAACTTTGAGTCAGCATCAATCAAGTGAAGCACCGGTTCAAAATAATGAACTTCATTGAATCATCAAGATAATACAAGTGTACTTGTGAATTCACCTGACATTACATCGTCTCCACTTTGTTTATCCCATACAACAAATTCAAACATTTCAATGCAAGACAATGGCATCCTCAAGAACATGGGAAAGGAAGCATATGAATATTTAAGCAAGGAAAAATTTTGAAGGACAGTCAGCATACTGCTAAAGATCGAAAAATTACAGTATTTCAATCTGGAACCTTTCTCGTAATTGTAGATTAGAAAATAGATGAATTAATAAAGGTACTTTGCAAGAACATCATACTAACTTTTTTGAATCTTAATTATAATAATTATGGTTCGTTGGAAAGAAAAGCATTTGCAGTTATACTTTGCAAAAACATTACGCTGATTTCTTTTAGTCTTTACAAGAATTATATCGAATTAGAAGAAAGAAAGCATTTGCAGATGTGATTTGCTAGAGCACTTCGCTGACTTCTTTTTAATATTGGTGATAATAGTCTTGGATTGGAAGGAGAAAAAGCATTAGCAGATGCATTTTGTAAGAACAATCAATACCTTGAAGTATTTGAATCTCGAACTTAATAAACTTGGATCAGAAGGAGGAAAGGCATTAACTGATGAATTTTCTAAGAACACCACGATGATCTAAATCTTCATGAGGAAAAGCATTAACAGATACACTTTACAAGAACGTTGCGTTAACTTTGAATATTCGATATAATAAACCTGGATCAGGAGGAGGAAAAGCATTAGCGGATGCACTTCGCAAAAACATTACGTTGACTTTAAATCTTAGTTGTAATGAACTTGGATCAAAAGAAGGAGAAGCATTGGCAGATGCATTTAGCAAGAACACTGCGCGAACTTTTTTGAATCTCGGTTTAATCAGAAGAGGGAAAAGTATTAGCAGATGCAATTTGAAAGAACACCTCGCTGACTTCTTTGGACTTTAACAGTGATGATCTTGGATCAGAAGGTAAAGCATTAGTAGATTCACTTTGCAAGAACACAACACTAACTTTTTTAATTCTTTATCAGAATGGGCTTGAATCAGAAGAAGGAAAAGCACTTGCAAATGCACTTTGCAAGAACCATACAGTGAAGGTTTTAGATCTTCGATAATCCAAATATCAAAATATTACAATTAGAGCTGCAACCCCAACCTTTGTTTTAAATTACGGCATTACTACTTAGTTTGAGTTTGAGATTTTTACTTAATTTGAGTTATCAAAATATATATCCCATTTCGGTAAATACATATTTAATAATATAATATTAAAATTAAATTTATTCAAAAAATTTCGGGTTTATGATAGTTTCTTAAAGATCAAATTAAATTTTCAAAAGAATAAATTCGTTGGATTTGTTATTCAATTACCTGTAATATAAGTAATATGTTAGAATTGTTTGACATTACGCAAATCAAAGGCATTTTGCAAATTAGTAAGTTTATGTCGCGTCTAAATTATTTTGCTCTTGACGTAATTCTAAAAAACGAAATTATTTGCAGCAATCTAAATTGTAAATAATTTAGAATCTTGAAAAGAATTTAGAATGTTAAAAATTTTATGTCGAAATGTTTTACGGTGCAAAATATTCTAAGATAGTAAAACATTTTATAATTCCCAAAATATTTAAACTGATATTTATAAATAAATACTCTTCATGATTAATTTAATACAATAAAAAAATTTACGATAATTATGAAGCACTGAAAGATTTTTCACAATTATCCTTTCATTATACGAGTACCACCAAGGAAAATTTTGCCACGAGCTTTTAAATTTATTATCGAGGTTTAACCCCCGAAAATATGAACAGACATATATGGAACGTACGCTGTGAAAAAATTCGATGTGCACATAGCGCTCCAAACAGAATTTTTTTGATAAAAAAAATATGGGCGTGTACGCAAAACATATAAAATATGCACTTTGCGCAATAAATTTTAAACTTGAATTTTTACACTGAACGTATATACGTACTAAAGGTTTTTTTGTTATTATTAATACGATCTAAAATTGCGCGTCATCAATTTACTAAAATTGATATCTGGAACGCACACGCGTCTCATTAATCAGATTCTCAAGTATTAAATCTGATAAGTAATAAAGGACAAACCCGCATATGCTTAGCTATAAAGATATTATAAAATATGTAAATATTTAATATAGTATATTAGTAAGTTTTATACGATTAAGATTACTTAGTTATACTATCGCTTTAAGTCAAGAATTGACATTAGGCTTCGCGCAGGGTATAATATTTAATTAGAACCACAAGAAATCAATATATAATGTGGCAATCCTTCTAATAATTCGGCAATAAATAATATTAGCGGTCTATAATTAATAAAACGCATCGATACTTAAGGTTTTACAGAGTAAAGATAGGTTCTTAGAAATAAACATTTGGTAAGATTCAATTAAAACCAATCTTTATTTATACATCAACAATTAATTCTCACGAGCTTATTTCTCTAAAATTCTTTCAAAATAACAATATATGTAAAGATATCGAAAATTTTCGACAGACTAGTCAAATTAGCTATAATTATGGCTAGTTTTTCAGGAGGTTTACTTTTTTTAAGAATCTAGTTTCGAATAATCAAAACTGATGGATTTATAAAATTTCATATCTACAAATATTATTTATTATCGCTATCTAAACTTTTAAATCTAAACAAACTGTGATATTTAAAGATGTTTTGCCACTCACCACAAACTCGAGTAAATAAGTAAACAAATTCTGATAAATTGTCTATACTATGCTTTTAAGCCACAAATACTTGAATAATTGATTGACTACCACGAAATTAAAAGTTTTGCGAATGAACACTTGGCATATATTTAATTAGTATTTAATGGGTAATTCGACTTCCTATAGAATTTTTTAAAGATGAGTGAAACTCCTTTTGAAATTTTAACGCATAAACCAGTTGAGAGTAAGTATAAAAAATTTGGTTTCTTCTATTTAACTCCCGATACATTCTTCAATCGATTAAAATTTAGTATATTTAATCAAATTGTTTGGATACCTGAACAAAAAAAGCATTATAAATAATACTTGGTAAGATATTAACACGTATATTAAACCTAAACATATTTGAAAACAGCTAAATTAGAATAGTGAAGAGAGAATACCTTATATTAACTTTACTAGCTAGGATGATTGCAGTTTTATATACAAAACAATTCGATTACAAAATATTAATTAAGCTTTGGTTTTTGACATACCAGTCAGCCTACATGTTAAGAATATAACAAATATTGTTTGCTCTCCAACTATGAAATATGTCGCAACTTGGTGCCCTGGGAATAAACCAGATGTACCGCCATCAGTTTATAGATGGCCAATCACCAAGGGAAAACTCAAATTCGACAAACATTATATTATTTACGATTCTCTCAATCTTGACGCTAAAGCATTGATTGGTGTCTCAGATACAAATCATATCATTTTACGTGTTGAAAGAGATTATTCTTATAATTTTGGTAAATTAAGCAAATTCATATAATTAAAATTCAAATTTCTCCATATTAATTTATTATTTTATATCGTAATCTTGACAGAAATTATTGATATTGTAAACAATAAAATACAAAAATTAAACGCTCAAGGTCTAAAAGGAAAAGTCGCAAAACGTCCTGGTTTTTTTGACAATTCTTACAGCGAATTTTGTAATGAAATTTCCTTTCTTGAAAATGGTGATCTGGCGATTATTAAAGGAGATCCAGTTTATCGAGCATTTATCTTTAATTTCAATGACAAACATCAATGGATATGCAAGCACAGTATAGAACTTTCCAAATATTATAAATGCACTGTCTCTCCAAAAGGAAAATTGTTAGTTCTTTTAAAGTTGCCATTTGTAATAATGCAATGGGATTTAACGAGATATGTTCTGGATTGGAATCTATATAATAGCAGAAAAAGTCTTCAAATGTGTTTAAGTAATGACAATACATTACTATCAGTAGGAGAAACAAAGATTAAAACAGGTCATGGTGATGATTATAAAAAGCCTGCGCAGATATTTGTTTATTCAGTAAAAGATGGTATACTGATAAAACAATGTAAATGTTTATTATATTAATTAATAATTTATATCTATAAGTTATGATTATTACTAAATTAATTTAATTTAAAATATAGCGGTTGATAACCTTAATGATCCTTGGGATAAAGGTCTCTTACTTTTGGATAATATGCGTTTTATTGGATCAGAAAATGAAGAACGATTGCTATTTTCTTTCTACATACATGGAACTGATCAGAGGCAATTTTCTATAATGAACCCACACAATCTTTCAAATCCTATAGACGCAAGTAAACTATTTGGATCTGGAATAGAAGATTATGTTAGGAAAAAAGCTTATACTATTTTTTTTGATTATATTGTAAAAGTTGAAAACGATCATTTGTATATTGAAAGTTTAGTCGAACATAAAAATTGGTCTAACTATATAAAGAGTACTGTGCAAGAGGATATGCAAGTGTATGTGCAAGATCATGAATTCGATTCATTATTTAAAAATAAATCTTTTGATAAACTGATTGACTCTTTTTATGAAAAGGGAGGTTATTATAAATATTTGGAAGATACTCGAATAGCTGAATGTTTAGATAAAACAAATTTGTTATATTTGCAAATCTATGGAAAAGATCTGATGAATGCATTAATGGATCCAAAAAAAAGAAAAGATGATATGAATAATAAAATAGTCAAAGATGTTTTTATGACTTGGCTTAAAAAAAGCCTATCAGAACTTGAAAGTGGCAACATTTCTTCATTTACAGGATTGATAAGTGTTATTACTTCTTCACTTTGTGATTTAGAAAAATATAATGAGAATGTCAAATTTATAGAAAGATTTTTATCACAGACTGCATTTTTAATTCCCGGAAATGATTATAAGTACTGGATAAATAATATTTCTCGATTGTCTCATCTTAAGCATTGTGGTGTTTATCTACATTATCCACATGATTTACATACAACTTCTTATTATGATTATATTTCGTTTTTATTATCTAATTATTATTTAATTTCTAAGCCTTTAAAATTTATACGCTCAACTTTTTTTGCACCATATCGTAAATCAACAGTCAAATTTATGATCCTTGCACTAAATTTTGCCACATATCCCGAAAGTTATTCTACATTTAAGGAATTGATTTTTCCCCCAGAAATTCCTTTCAATGTTCTGTATATTTCTAATTATTACAAATGGTGGAATATCAAGGCTTTAATTAATTTTAAGTGGAACACATATGGAAAATATTATTATTATATGATATGGGCATTTTATTCAATTTTTATGTGCTGCTTTACTATAGTAGCAACAATTTCACAAAATAAAATTTCTTCAAATAGTCAAGTAATTCTTTTGACAATCACAATATTTCTTGGTACCTTTTTTATTATTATTGAAATTCGACAATTTTTATATAATCCAAAAAGATATATAACGGATTTTTGGAATTTAATCGGTATATATAATCTTACTTAAATATATTGTTAACTACAAATATAATTTTATTTATAATTTAATTAATTAATTTTTAGATATTTCTGCATTATCATTACCAATAATAGTTTCGTCAATCTGGCTATATGAAACAACATTATCAGTTTGGATTATAACAATATCAACTCTTTTAATTGAGCTTAAATTTTTATTCTTTTTTCGTGCTCTAGATTATTTTGGAAGTTACTTTGCAATTATGATTGGAGTTGCACAACAAATCTTTTCTTTTCTTGTTCTATTGAGTATTATAGTTTTTGCTTTTGCACATTCATTGCATCTTTTGTTAAGACCAACAACAGAATATTCGTATGACCAACCGAGTTATAATGACGATATTAATAATCCATGGAATCTTGTTACAAGATATAAATCAATTTCATCTAATGGTGTTATTGGTGATGAGTCTTTTATTGAGGCACCAAATGCAAATACAAATTTATTTTCTGTATTCAATACTGCAATTATTGCAGTTTATTTTATGCTAACAGGTATAGTATTGTTTTAAAATTAAATTACTTTATTTTATTAAATACGATTATTAATAATGTTAATATTTTGCTAGGCGATTTAAGTGCAGTTGATTCATGGGTTTTAAACGAAAATTGGACACTAGTGGTTTTATTAGTTATATTTTCATTTTTTACAACTATTTATTTATTAAATTTATTTATTGGATTACTTAGTACAGCAATTGAAAATACAAATAATGACGAATCATTTCTACACTTAAAAAAAGAAGTATATTAATGATTAATATAAAACTATATAATAAAAAACCAAAATTCATATTCAAATCTAATATTTATTTTGCTATTTTTAGATATTAACAGAAATTGAATTGTTTTGGATGTTGCCTTATCAAAGAAGAAAAAAAAATTGGTTTCCAGAAATCATGTAATTGTTTAAAGTTTTATTAACAAAATATTTATATAGTTTAAATATTAATTTTAATATAATTTATCAGATATTACACGGCTACAATTGAAGAACTTCAAAAATATATTCAAAAACTTCAAAGCAAAAATTTTGAGGAATCATCTAAGCCATTTATATTTTCACATGTTTATAAAATTGCAGATTTAGATATAAAAACAGTTGATGAAAAGCTTAATGATCTTGATGAAAAGCTAAAAAATCTTGATATAAAACTTAATAATCTAATTGTGACACATTAAGAAAATCCTTCTAGGCCTGCATGTACGTATCAAACTTTAGCAAGGTATATAATTAAATTGCTTAATGAATTTTTTTTTTTTTGTGGGGATGTTAAAAGATTAAAATTAGATTGAAAAACGAAATAAAATATGCAGCTTAGAGATATTTATATTTGAAATGAGTATAAATTAAATATGTTGTTTGCTTAAACAGTTTTAATTCCAATACACAATATAAGTAGAGATGTGCGAATGCATATTTTTTTGGCTCTGCATTGCATAATGCAGCATAATGCAGCATGCGACATTATGCAATAATGGTGTTATGCCAAAATCAAGAAGCAAAATTCTTTCTCATCTCTAGACAGAAGTTTACTATTTCATGGTATTTTCAAACCTCATATTAGTTAGCCTACTTTATAAAGGTAGAAAATCACTAACTAATGCTACATATCATTTAGTATTACATATGATATAAAATATAATATTTTATTAAATTTTATTGCATTAAAATTATATAGTAATTTATGCACTTTTAAATTTTAAAATGTCTACATTACATTATGCGACATTATGTTTTGCATAATGTAAAGCACATAATGCAGAATGCCCATCTCTAAATATAAGTAATTTACAAACACTTATATTTCTTGTTAACTAATAAAAAATCAAACCGGAATTATCACATACACGTCACTCTTGATATAACGGACTCTCGATCAAGGTTCAAATTCTGCTTAAAATAATGGATTTACTAATGAACTCATAATATTGCGGATTTTAATTAATTTCTCTCTAATTGCTCAAGCAATACGTTATATCAAGAGTGACATGTATTGCTATCAATGTAGTTGTAACTGTGTATCCGATATCTAATCAAAGTATGTATCAGAATCAGATCACTAGATTGGGTACAAGGGAAATAAAATTTCCGCTTAAACACAGAATCTAGTGTATAACTGATTTATGCACGACCTTGATATAGTGACCAGGGTCTAATGAAATATGTATATTGCCAGTCGGTAAAAAATTTTTTTAAACATGTACATACTATTCTATTTATGAAATAATGTGTTGCCGAAATTATTGAAAATAATGTGGAATCAGATTTTTCGAGGCCTAAGTTCAATGCTTATAGATATATTTACAGAGTTTTCCTGTCATCACTCATAAATTAGCAGATGTCTAATATGTTTTGCATTTTAATAGAAATCGGTAAATGACCTCATACTATGAAAAAAATAAATTTACAACTTTAGTATCCGAAGATGCACGTTTGATCGAATTTTTGTAAGTTTTTGAATGGATCAAAATGAATTTTGTTTCAATTATAAATCGCACCAGTGATGTTGAACACCATATAATTTTTTATTATAATTTGTTGTAAAATTTAAAAGGTGAAGGTTAAAAATTAAGATAAAATTAGAAACTATATACTAAAAATTAAAGCTAAAAATAAAGTTGGGGTAATGTTTTTTGAGTTGCTGAACATTTTTACTTAATACATCTGCCTTTATTTAGACAGTTTTTGAGAAATACCACAGCAATGCCGATTTTTTTTTTTGCAATTACTAAATCGAATCATCTTTATTCATCTCCGTTTACGAAGAGAAGTGAACATTCTTATTATGCAGCATAGAGAACGTGATTACATCACAAACTTTGTGAGCCTAGTTATCTGCTTTTTATTCAAAGGGTAAGTGATGGATTTTTTTACACTATGATGTGACGAAGCGTTACATGTAGAAAACGGAAGGATGTACATGATAACTATGCAGTGCTAGATTCGTCAACGAAAAAGACGGATTTAATTATATCATTGAGAAGCTATCAAGTTGATCTAATATTTTTCGAAGCATGTATCATTAAAATAAAAGTGGTTATGAAAGGTTTTTTGAATACGTTTTGGAGTAAATTACATTTTAGAAAAGATGAGCTTGAGGTGGTTTTTATAATGGGTATCCAAATCACAGGTGTGTAAAAATTCATCAAATTTACGTATTCAGTTAATTATATAGGCATCAAGTGACCACATATTATTCTCTTGCCTAGTGCTCCTAACGGGTTTGATCTGAACGACCCGAAATTGATCTGGTTAAAGTAAATTTAATATATGGGTCATGACCCATATAATAAATTTACTATAGCCAGATCAATTTCGGGTCGTTCAGATCAAACCCGTTAAGAGCGCTACTCTTGCCTATAATATTTTATTTTATTTTATTTTATTTTAGGATGGTTACACTGACATTACTGACAACTTCATCTGACATGGAAGACCTTTTGCAAGAAATATTATTGCGTTCGGGTATGCGGCATTCTCTTACAATAAAGTTATCCGAACTTATAGTAGATCACATGTAATATAATTATCCTTAATATTTTTCATATAGCATACACAAATAGATCTTGTTGCAAAAATTCGTAAAATTACACAGAAAAAAATTTTAATACATCGTTACCTTCTTCATTCCCATTACACGATGGATACTCCCGATATAAAGAAAACTAGAAAGACCATTTTACTATTCTAGACAATCTATATTGAGGCTTTCTCTTTGAGCCATACACATGCATTTGCTAAATTTATAATGTAATCTTTATTTGCTTTTTACAATAAATAAAGACAATGCTTATTAAATATTATTTTGCCTAAATATATAACTTTTAATTTGCCAATTACGTATAAATTGACCATACAAATTTAATAACTTTTTTCTTGTAATCCGGCCAAGTCAATTTCAAGTTGGGCTTTTTTATAAATTTGATAAAAATTGTTTATATATATATATATATATAAAATAAATTAAAGTCTGGATTGCCTGGTCAATGTTAAAAACGAATATTAAGAACCAAAAAGATTTGTATGGTTTAATAAATATTTATTAAAAGAATTTCACACTAATAAGCATGCAATTAACAGATTGAAAACAATGATATTAATATCCTTTAAAAACACAATAATTACAAAACGTAATACTTACGCGTAAACAATAGAAATTACCAGTATTATTAAAGACTTTAACTATATAAATTCAACGATGTAGTCAACATCACAGGTAGAACAAAATTCATTATGACTTTAAATCCACATCCACAATTAATAAATATTAAGCAATCACTTACTCTCGGTTATATAGAGGATAAAATCTTTGTATATTTCTATTTTCAATTAGGTTATAAAAAGAAATTATATTGTATTTTTCTATGATAAATTATTTTCGTAAGATGCATATTCGTATTGATAATCGGCTACTTTATAAAGGTGAGAACCCACTATCTATATTATCATAATATTTATAACACAACATTATCAATTAAAAATTATAAATTAATCACATTCGTAAAATTAAATTTAGCAGAAATGAGTCAATCCCTATTATTATTTTAACAATGCATTTTCCTATTTTTTGACAAATGCCCTACTTTGCGTAAACGAAAACCACAAACAGATACCACACCATTTCATCGCTTATGAGATACCAACAAGGTTCCATATTACTTTATCTTAAATCAAAATAGTGAATTTCAATGCCACACGTTAGAATACATGTTAGAAAGGAACTATTAGAAATTTAAAATCTACTTAAATTGAAACGAAATCCAAAATATAACAAATTGACACGAAATCTAAAGCTAATTTAATTCGATATATAATGACAGTTAAAATAGATTATATTTTATCGTTATAATAAATTGCAAAATATTTGCAATAATAATATTCTGATCCGTTGGGAATTAGCGGAAACTTCGTTTCTGCTTATTCACATACGGTCAGGGTATTATTAATTAATCCTCCCACGATCTTGATATAGTGATCGGTGATTAAAATACTAATTTCTCATTATATTATTATTATTTCACCTTTTTATTCTTAACAATCCTATCCAATGACCAGATTTCCAAATTATCCCTTTTTATCCTATACTACAGTTGATATATCATTTTCAAAATAGAAGGTATAAAATCCTTATTACATACGAAGACTTTAATTTCTGTGTTAAAGCTTTACAATATCCGCAAATACAATAATCGAGACAATTGGTAGACAAAAAAATACACTCGCTATATATGATTTTGAAACAACTAACCTTATAATCCAACTCATCAGTCTTTTCTAAAACTAAAACTTAGAAAAATCAATAAACACATGTACAGTACTCACAATTTCACAAATACAAAACGTGGGTAATGGAAAAAATACTGACTCCTTTGCTATGTACTGTACGTACGTACGCATATGCCATCATAAAGGTTGTAACCAGTTTGATGCTTCCGTATTAGTATTTAAAACTGGTTCATTTTATGGGAAACATTTCATCTGATTGGCTAATTACCCGTGATTACCTGTGATAATTAAGCTACAGTACATACGTAGTTATCTTTTTTAAAAATGCAAAAATTCGGTTTAATCCTACGAAAAAAAAACCGAAAAAACAAGTCTTCATACAAAGAAGCTTATAAAAGAATTTATAGAGGGTAGATAGATACGGAAAATGGGTCAATGCGATATTTATTACTAATAAACCCGAATTCATTAAAGAATCAAGAAATACAGTAAATCCAAATTTTACAGTTAACAATAAAAGGTTTATTTTAATATAACGTAATAAAATAGTATAGACAAAAACATTTCCAGTATTAAGTACCGTAAAGGATCATATACCAAAAAACCCGGATTTCTTACATTTCACCAATTTTAAAACCTATAATATACCTGAGTTTAATATTATATCATTAAGAAAAAAACTTTGAAGAGCATGCATATTTGCATTAATGGCTGGTAGTCTAGTTATTTGAAATGAACCAGGTTTGATTAATGTAGATCCCGTAATTCGCGCCCGGGTCCATAGGAGATCTTATATATAGGGGGATCTTTTATATGATTCTTCACAGTAACTTCACAGTAACTTCACAGTAACTTCACAGTAACTTCACAGTAAGTATAATTAGATGATCCTTCACAGTAGTATAATTTCGCACTGTTCAATACTAAACTAAGCCGTGAGGGTGAGATATTTTTTGGATTTTTTGCATAGTGAATGTTGGCGCCCTTTTTTTGCGATTTTTTATTAGTGAAACACTCTAAATAAGTTAGCCAAGAAATTGATTATATTAATTAACCAGTCAAACGAATGTCTGACCATGAAATCCAATAAAATTACTTATAAAAAACAGATTCAAGAGACTAGCTATCGAAAGAATTATTTATTAAGATAGGTCAATTTATACACCCATGTATATTAAAGTACCCGCATATACCGCTGAGGAGATATTTCATAAATTCCGTAATTCCGGAATATATAGTACGGACGTGCTTCTTTAAAACGTACAATTGGTGTGAAAATAGTAGAAATGGTAATTATAAAAATTAATTGGCATACCATTTGTACGTACGTACGTACGTACGTATGTATATTTGACATTGCATTGTTATGCAATGTGGTACATAGAAAATTTACTGTTTACAGAATGATTGGTCCAAAAATGTTTGTGTTTTATTAATACAGTGATACAGAATTTGTGATTGTGAACTTTATTTGTACGTATAGTTAAGTTGTAAAAGATTCCTTCCAAAAAGAATAAATAGCGTATACCGAACTAAAAACCTTTTAATATTAAGAGATTCGTAAAAAGTATCATAATCCTACATTCCTTGAAGTCCTTGAAGGCTGAGGGATAATTCCCATTATAAGTGCACATAAAAACTATAAACACATGAACTCTGATACTAGAATTCTTAATTCTACAATCCGGTTCGAAACATTAAATGCATACACTTCTTCAAGCGTTACTGATATAAATACTAGTCAAAAACAAAATGAACAAAGGCATAGTAAACTAATAATTTACAGTAAACAAATGCAGATAGATGATGATGATGATGAATTCTATACGCCTGTTAATATTTATCGTGAACATAAAACTCATTTAGAGCAAGATAAAAGAGTCCGTAAAGAATTGGACACTCAAATGCTTGATGACCTTTACGAACCCATTCAAAAAACCTTTCTGCATAATTCAAAACTTTTAAATTCGAAGAATGTTGATATTTCTTTTGGTGGCAATGAAATTATCACGACTGGAATGTGGAATTGTAATTATAATGAAAGATGTTGAAAGAATATTTTTCAGCAAATAGAATAAACATTTAAATTTGTCTTTTAGAATGTTACGTCGGAAATTTCATTATACTTAATATGTGTTTATAGAAGTATAGTGTGTTGTAAATATTAACTTCAATCATAAATATATTAACTAAATCATAAATATATTAACTTCAATCATAAATTTATTAACTAAATCATAATACATACTATTTATTTTTATTGCCAGGTGCATTTTAGTCATCTACATTATTCGCATTACCATTATAATTGTAATTAATATTATAAGTCCAAAATTTTAAATAAAAATGAACCTTTAAAGTGGAAAAAAGATTATAGTCGTCAGAGCTTTTTGAGCTGAGATAGAATTCAATTATGACTTGGCCTAATATGAAGTAATATCACATTAAACCAATAATTCTCTTCTGTAACTAACCTTGCAAAGGTCTCTGGTTGTATTATCAATTTTTCTAAATATTTTCTAAATGTTTTTTTAACAATTTTAATTACTTGTGAAAGAAGCGCGGAAAAGATTTAGATAAGCAGAAAATATTTGGAAAAGTTGCAGTATACCAAAGGTTTTTAAAAAAAAAATTGTAGAAAATGTTCATTGCTCTACCTGTGTATATAGCGGTATAGTATAATAAGACCGACTGTGACAAAGAATACTATTATGATTTCCTGGCTTCACATGATCATGAGGTCATTGGAGCTAGTGAATAAGTATAGTAAGACCGACTGTGACAAAGAATACAATTATGAGGATTTCCTGGTTTCACATGATCATGAGGTTATTGGATCTAGTGAATGGTATAATGCTTTCTTGCTTTTCATAGTTTCTCAAAGCCTTGATTTTTTTTTTCAAAAAAACTTAGGAAAATAAACGGAAAAGTCTTAAGCTTACATCGTCTCGATACTATTCAATTCAATTCAATGCTGAGAAATCGTTACTAAATCCATCTGCAAATAGAGTCAATGACTGTGACATCATCTTAGCTTACACAGCTACACCCCACACTATAATGTATTGCGAACATTTCATACTGTTCAAGATAAAAGATTATTAAGGAAATTAGATTAAGCAGAGTCTCAATAAGTACTATAATAAATGTTGATGCAAACAGGTAATTAAGACATCCAGGCAGCAGCACCATTCCCATAGTCTTTTACATCATATATTTGTGATTAATATTTGCTAATTGAAAAGTGTATTTGTATTGAAAGTCCGAGCAAAAAACAATATAGGGTAGTAGACAAAAAATTGTTACCTAATTACTAGAAAGAACTGTATTATAATACGCGAAAAAAAACTTGAAATGACTATGCATAAAAAATGTGATCGCAGCATAAAATAAAACTCAATTCCTATTATTGATCCAATCGTAGCATTTGTATTTCGTTTTTAAATTTATATGTTTATTTACAATTATTATAAAACGCACCTATGGTGGTTTTGCACCTATTATATGTTTTTATTATGTTTTTTAAAATTTTTAAGTTTTTATAAGTTTTGTATATAAAATTTTTAGCCCAAATTTTTTTCACATTAAAGTTAATATTAAGGTTAGGATTAGGGCTTGGGAAGGGCTTTTGGGGGCGCAGAACATTTTTACTTAGAACACCTCACAACAATTAATTAGCCAGTTTTTGAGATAATGTATACATAGGTGTAAAACACCATAGGTGCGTTTTAGTAAAATCCTTTATTTAAATTCAATTGAAATTTTCTTCAAATCTCTTTAGCTAATTTTATATCCCTAATTATGTGATCGATTTTATTAAATTTCGTTATGCTACGAAATTTAATTTATGTATTTCATGTTACGTATCTCACTAATATAAAGGAAAAAATAAAAATATTGTGATTGAGCTTAAATAAATATTTTTCACTGCCAATTTTTCTAACTATTGGAGGCAAACGGGGCGAACAGAAAGGAATTTTTACAAAGGCATGGAAGACTATAAAAAGCACTATTTCGGCATTGATTTTAATATTAAAATCAATACCGAAATACTTAGTTTTTGCGGCATTTAAATAGAAGTTGACTTGGGCGAGTATTTTGTTTATTTCCTTTGGATTCACTTAGCAAATACTACAAACTAACAACTACTTTCTTTTTGAAAAGGGTTTCGATCTTTCTATCTTTTAGACTGCTAATGTTAAGTTTTATTAATTATTTTGTTACTGCTTTACAAAAAATATAACTTTTGAAATATGTAATTATTTGCCAATAATAAGCATTATTTAGTACATTATAACCTTTTAATTAATAATTTATGAAATTGATTCTAGATTTTTAAATTACTAGCAATAATTTAGGCCTACAAAATAACAAATTTTAAGTTTTTTTTTAAAGTAATAACATTGTAATAATATTATGATAATTTTATTCGATTTATTTTGTATATAAAAGTAACATTCAAAGTTCTTTTTAAAGTAATAATATGATAATATTCTTGTAATAATATTATCAATTTATTTGCAATTTATTTTGAATATAAAAGCAAAATTCATAGTTTTTTAGAGTAACAATACAGTAATATTATTGTAATAGTTTTATCAATTTATTGGCATTTTATTTGTATAATTTATTGCAAAAATTAATAATGTTAAAAATTCTAATTTTCAAATATTATAATCTAAGTTTTAATTCATAACCATAGCACTAAATGTAATCAGCATTTAATATTTTATATTATTACACGGCTCCTAATTGTATATTTTCACGGTTGATATTTTCACGGCTGATATTTTCATAGCTAACTTTCTTTTTGTCGGTTTTCTTAGATTGTATTATGGTTGTTCGTAAATTATCCTTAAAGAATATAACCAAGAAAGAGATTTTAAAGAAAGAATTTTATTTTGCATGAAGAAAAGCCGTGAAAATCTTATGAAAAATAATAGTTATAAAATCATGGGTGTTAGGATCTGTGTAATAAATCAGTTATTACACGTATTTGTCATCGACATCATGAAGCATCCCGAATCAGTCTCGATATCATGCATCATTGTGGCTACGCCACAATACTGCATAATATTTCGACTGATCCGTGATGTTTAACGATATCTATGATAAAACGTGAAATAACTACGAATTCACCTGCAAAATTTAAAAATTACAGCATGTAATAAATAAAATAAAGCGTTACTAAGAAAATGTGACTTGCGATACTTTTGTAGGGATGGATCAGTCCTGAAAAGACCGAATAAGGACCTGTCTTTTTAACCAGTCTTATGGTTAACTAGTCCTCGGCCTGAGACCAGTCTGGACCGGTCCTCATGAATAATTCAAATAACTAATGTTACATAATCTTTTATTTTCAATTACCGACGTCATATGATTTGATTTTCCGTTAGCCAATAAAATTAAATAATTAAGGACCGTTATTGGGACCGAGACTGGACTGAAAACATTAATAGACCGGTCTTTTTAGGACCGGACTTGTCCACCCCCATACTTTTGTAACATTTGATAATCAAACGTTCATTTAAAAAGAAACATTTAAAAGCAAAAAATACACGGTTATAAGATCGTACTATTCATTGGCGTTGTCAAGATCGCTTCTAATTAAAGTCGGTGAAACATTTGATCCCACTTTATCCCAAACATTTATATGAAAATTGGGTGTTCGAATAACAATTTAGCAAAATTTAAGTGGCTTTGATTATAAAATTTTTAACATGTCTTATTTATATTAAAAATTTCCTAGTAAAAACAATATAAAACTCATGTAATACTTTGTTAATATAAATAAGCAAGCAAATTAACCAGTGCTTCACACGGGGTTAATGACAGTATTGAAGAATTATCGGATTAATTATTAATTATAAACGGGATGCTTCATTAAAGATCAGTGAATAAGTGCTTTTAACTAGTGATTTATTAGTGAGGTAAATCATAATTTCGCATTGGGTTATTTGAAATTTTAATAATATATTAATGATTTCAACAATGTGTGATTTAGTGGTTTCAATAGTAAGCGGGTTTATAATTTTAGTAGTAGACGAGCTAATAATTTTAATAGCCTCAATAGCGAGTGGATTCATGATTTAATAGTATTATGGAACAGAATTTAAATGGATTTGGAATTTCTTAGGATTTTTAGAATTAAGGTGTAGGTTTATATAAAATCAATTCTACCTTAAGACGCCAACGGCGTCCCGTCCGTAGCAATTAGGCTGCGGGTATATATATATATATATATATATATAAAATCTACCTTAAAATTTAATTTTATTAAGAAATTTCAAATCCACTTAAATTCCATTTCGACTTACAACATTAACAGAAGGTGGTTTCAGGGTTTAGTATTGTGAGTTCATGATCTACCAGCGACTTTAACAGTGGACATACGTTTCAGCAGCCAGATTTGTTGCTTCTACAGTGGGTGCTCGTAATTTTAATAGTGGGTGAATAACAAGGAAGATGTGATGCAGACCAATTGACCATTAGATTTTGGGCTGTACGCACTTTCTCCACTAAACCATATACTTCGTGATTTCATCACATAGTTCCTGTTATGTTCATGTAAATATCAAACGTAAATGTGATAGATTTCATTCTTAAAATAATATGGATCACATTTCTAAGCATGACACAAACACACTACTATAAGCAGGGAATCGGTAACAAAAGTTAAACATGCGATTTACCTTATAAGTTGTGCTAAAATCAGAGGATACGGGTAAACCTGTCTTAATATTTTGTTAGCACCCGAATATTGTTTAGAGATCTGTTTTATGTATGTTCTTTCTAAATTAGTTTCGATTTAATCACGAGAGTAATGTGATCGAAAAAATCGGTCTTCTTTACAAAAATCTGTCAAAATTGAACTTACTAAAGCAATTTAACGGTGCTAATAATGTACTATTAAAATACAGATTTTTGCAAATATAAGCACTTTATTAGCATTTTATTACTATATTTTAATTTAATAAATATATTTGTCAATTATTATACTAATAAAATGCCAATATTAGCAATATATTATCAATATTTTAGTAATAATAAA